GACAATCATCATCATCATCATCATCATCATCATCATCATCATCATCAATTAATAATGATAACAAAAAAAGCGCAAGTCTACTTGTTAGGCACAGAATACTTAATGTCTCTGGCTTACCACTTATAGAGCGCTCGTAGCGAGCAGCTATCCTCCGATACGAATTATTAATTTATTGTGACTTCAAGCGCTCTCCATGTGAGATTAAAATGTAGGTGGACGAACCAGAAGTTTGTCAGTAAACATTTAGACCGATGACAGGTGTCAGTCACAGGACCAAACCTGACGCTCTCACTATGCTTTTAAAAAACAAACACAAAAACAACCCCTCCCCCCAAAAAAAAAATTATAAAAATTAACGAAACAAAACAAAAACAAAATCACAAAACTGACAAGCAAACATACGAGCCCACTGGGCGATGCTGTCAGTTTAACCTTTTCATTGCTGTGTTGACGTATATATAAATATACTCATTTGTGTTGCCTTAAACTGCAACTGTGGGTGGTTGGCGGGTGCTCTGGAGTGGTTTGCTTCTTCTTTTCTATGAAACATCTATCGGCCTTATCTCCCCTTCTTTTTTGTGTTTGTTACTCTCTTGTAACAACTCTAATCTTCTGGCGCTCATATGACCTTATGCAGTTGCGAGCACCGTAAAACCTCTACTAAAACTAAAAACTGCCATTATATTGTCCTCTGGTTTATAGCCCTGGAGGTCAACATCTCGGACAATTAACTGTAAAGTCGTGGGTTCGAATCCCGCCAGTGGCCGGACTCTGTGTCTTTGGAAAAGGCACTTTACCCGAATTTTCCTCACTTCATCCACGTGGGAAAGGGTACTCGGCTATAAACAGCGAAAGATCTTGTCTTGTCAGTTCGTTAGTGTTGGGTGCGTGCAATCCGCAGCTTGCCTTGTATGCTTCCAGGGAAACTGAGAATGTTTTTGAGCGTTCTAGGGTCTGCTTGGGTAATAACAGTTGTAAAATGCATGCTGCAGAGTGGGGAATATGCGATATATAAATGCAATGATTATTATTATTGTTACAATAATAATAATAAAAATA